TCCGGATGATAATCCTAAAAAAAAAGAGAAAACATACATAAAACATTCAGTTCCAGCAAAATTAATTTTAAAAATTGTTAGAGGCTTAACTAAAACCAAATAAGCAATTCTGTAAAATTGAAGTTGTAGACTGATCTAGTCTCTTCATATCTTCCTTACATTAAACACTGGTGGGTCTGGCTTTAGTAAAACTGCAGTTATTTAGCACAATCCTAGTTATACTTAAAATAGAGCCAAATAAATTTTACAAGACCTAGTGAATAAGAGACTTTGAATTCCCAAGAAGAAAGTATTAACAGAGTTTTGTTTAGCAGGAAATCATAAAGGTGATTTCCTACAGACTATTTAGCATGTTCTGCTGTCACTGGCTGACAAACCAATCTGTGTGACAAGACCTACACACTTTCTATTTATCTCTTTTTTTCCCACTCCAAACATATAACCTATAAAATGCAAAGGTTTGAATATGTCCTCAAACACCTCCTTGTCCTGTAAAGATCACTTTTGGACAGTGCTCACTAGAAGTCAGAGGGACTATTTTGCCAATGTGTTCCACATACTGAGGTGAAAAGCAGCACTCCCTCTGCAAGATAAAGTGGCTTCAAGGAGTGTGCAGTAGACACATTCAATGTCAAGTCAACTAAAGACCCTGGTAAGACTATTCTAGGAATGATGATTAGCTTCTCTGAATAGTTTTACTTTAAATGTTTATCTTTTACAGGAAGTTTTACTGCACTGACTTGTACATAAACCACTGCAGCCTGTAGTTTTAGAAGGCTGCCTGAAGAGCAAACAAATGCAATTTTGGGTCCCATCATGTTTGACATGTACCTTTAAAATAATTGTTGTCAAATCATCATTAAGCTGGAACATAAATGCTGATAAGATATACCTCCATGTGCCTTTCAAGTTCTTTGAGTAACGTGGGGTATTTATCCAGACGCATAAAAGGTTTGCTGAGGCCTGTGGTCAGTACAAGGATCCCAGGGCTGTTTGCACCTTTCATCTCCATGAATTCTCCTAGTTCCTCACTGCATACACAAGATATTTAAGCAAATTAAGATTACATTACCAAAACAAATAAATTACATTGGATTCATGATTCAATCTTTCACCTGCAATGAAGTATGCCAATAAAACAGGAGGCCAAATAAAAAATTAACTCAAGTATGACTTAAGTGCTGTGACCAGTTTTAAACAAAATACAGGAACAAAGCCATGTGCAGATTTGGGACCCAACCAGGGAAAAACATACATATGAACAAATCCACTCTTCTACAATACAGAATAAAGCTGTATTTTATTACACAGCTCTTTATTCTAGTAAAATGACATATGACCTTAGAGGTAGTTTACACAAGTAATACACAAGCAAGAGTCAAATGCTTCATACACAATTAAAAAATAGGTATTTACATGGTGACAGGCACTAATAAGAAGACAGAATATTTCAGAAGTTTTTTTTCTCTTGCACTTACATGTTTAATGACTTCATCTCACATCCAAGGTGTTAATGCAAAAAAGTTACCAACATTCATACAAATGGTAGAAATAATCACCGTGCAGTCTATTCTCTAATGAGCTAGGGTTTCATTAAGTGTGGACTTATACAACACACTTCTTTTCACAACAAAGCCACTGTAAGAAATCCATTCTCTCCATGTATCATGAATTGCTACTTCCCATCTCCAGATATTTTTTGGTTATTTGAATAATGCAGAACTGGCCCAGCCCCTCAACTTTTTAAACAACTCAGTTAAAACACCAGATCTGAGAATTTCAGCTCCCTTTGCTATGAAGAAAACAAAATAGCAACATCATCTGCTTACAATGCAGAGATTTTAGAGGACTATGGTGGAGGAGGACTAGCTTTTCACGAGTTTAAATCACCAAGAACAAAATGAGTCCTCTCCATTCAGAATGGAAGATACAGCAGCATCTGGGCTGATTGCCAGGCTTCATAAAATACAAGTTGCAAAACCCCACAGAATTCTAAAGGCAAAAATCTATGTAAAAAAATACAGAAAGTAGTTTCTTAAAAATGTAACATCTTACTGCATTCAAGACACACACACACACTCCTTCCACTGCAGAACAAGTGACACTGATTATTCATGTCATTTGTCCAAATAGATGAATACAACAGAACAAGAACACAAACATGGTGCTTAGGGGCGTCATTTAGTGGTAGATTTTGAAGTGGTGGGTTAACAGTTGGATTCTATTTTAGAAGTCCTTTTCAACCTAAATGATTCCACAGTTCTGTGAGCTGTAACCTTCCTATCCAATCAGTGTAAGTACTCTACCACCATCCCACTTGGATCATTCACCTCCCAGATAGCAAAGTTTCCCCCAGGTCACAGAAAAGAAGATACTTTTCCATACAGTTTACTCCAAGTTTACTTGTCTTCGGATTAGTTAATTGGAATTTACTTAAGCTATACCTTGTTTATGTATAGCTAGCACTGTTTCTGAATTGTCAGGTCCATCCTCATTATACATCACCTCTTTCAAGAGCTTTCTGTCCCCATTCTAAGAAGGCCCAGGCTCTCCTCAGTGTATGTATTTGTGCCATTTCAGCTGCATTTAAGTACAGAGAGGAGAAAGAGGGTGATGGGATTTCTCAACATCTACTGTGCATTTTAAAGATGCAAAGACAAGAGCTGGTCACACTTGGGAAAGATCTTGCATCCCTATTAAGCAGGAAATATCAATCAGCAACTCCAGGCCTTCTAAATCAGCGACATAAACAGGCTTTAGCCAAAATTAAAACATCTTGAAAACTTCCTACAATACCTTGCATGAAGGGTTATAATAAAGCAACACAGATGAACCCGAGTACTTTTTGAGCTTAAATTTAAGTAAAGCTGGCCAGCTCTGAATACCTGAGGCTGAAGACCTACTTTGCTTAATGCTTCCTTAATCATAGCCCTTGCTTAGCATAAAATCACACTACTTCAGAACTTGACAGCTGACTGCAGTGGCACCCTGAAAAAAAACTACAGATTTTGTCTTGTAACTGTGTCTTGGGTTTACCACATTACCAGCTACTTCCTGGTCAAGTATTCGGGGTAATTCCCTGAAACATCAGGCTGCACGGCTACAGCGTGGTGTCATCTCCTCTACACTCCTGACTCAGTTAAAGGAAAAAAGTGTTTCCAGTAAGTAGTAAAGGTATGACACCCAATTTACACAGAAGCTTTACCAAAGTTCACCTGGAAAAGCCCTTCTGCCAGACAGAACTCAATGGTTTTAAATTTCACTTCCCTATGTGTATGACACTGATCATGTGCAAGTCATTGCTTTTCTGTTTTATCCATTTATTGCACCTGTATTCACCCCCACCCATTTCAGCATCATAAAGTCAGATTACACACAGTACTTGATACTTCATCCTCTTTATTTTAAAGACATTTCCTACAAGAACCTAGAGAAGTAGCTGTTTAAACTCATTCTTTGCATTTTGCTTGCTTCAGTCAGACACAGCCCCTGCTGCCTCATTCTACCAACTCTGCCCTTTTAAACTATCTACTGCTCTTCCCCATTTCAGGCAGCAGAATCCACAAGTGTATTACAGACTGTCTCACCCCTAACAAAGCTGCATTTTCCACAGGATGTGCCACTCTCAAATGCCACAGGCTACCCATTTTAACGCTGTTCTGAACAGTCCTCATTTTTGCCCTTAGACTGCTAAGGGGCAAAACCCCCTATTCCTAATTACTTCAGTCATTTCCATACTGTTGAGTGCATACACATGCATTATACAAATAGTATTTGCTGAGCTATCCACTCAGACAATGTCTGCACTTCCCCCTGCCTTTTTTTTTAATGCTTTTACTGTAGGAGAAACTTTGGTTACCGTTTTACCTACATTCTAATTCTAATTCATTTCTAATTCTCATTATCATTGTTCCACTTCTTCAACTTCAGCATCATGAAAGAGATGTGTGAAAAAACAGGGGAAAATTCACTGTAGCTTGTATTAAAATTCACTTATTGGAAACCTGAAATAAAAAGCTGGTATTATCTTGTTTTCACTGTCTACTCTGCAATCCCTTTAACTAAACACACTCAGTGGTTATGCCATTCTCTGCTCAAGTGAAACCTGGTGTTGATTATCACCTTTTTTACCTAATCACAATATAGGGCTCTATGGAGCAAGTTTAAACCTCAGCTCACTTGAAACATACACAAAGTCCTGAAAAACAGGCTTAGCAATGGCATCATCATGAAGCCTTTAACAGGGAGCAGTGTTAATAGGTATAATTAAAACTGAATGACGTAGTTTTCCTCTCAACATTCCCAAGAGGACAATGTTTTCTTTCACACACTTCTGTGTTTCCCAATGACAAGTTTTGACATGCCTGCTTATTCAAGCTCTAGTCTGAATACAGGCACACACTCCTTTAATACAATAGTACCCAAAATTTTGTCTGAGCAGTTCCATCATGCAGACTTCTGTACCATTCTACTCATGCTATACCAACCTGGCATCTCTGCAGCTTTGTGGACATAAAATATCCATCAAAATGTGGATGTTACTATAGCTCAAAGCTTAAAGCTAGTGTCTTTCATTTAGTCACAAAAGATAAATGGCATACAGGACATAATGGCAGGGGTTTACTTTTACTTTCAAAAACATACGAGCAGGTTAAAATACTGTTCGAACATGACAACAGCTCACAACCATTTTTTCATTGCAACATAAAAAAGTCCATGTCAGCTGCTTTGCCAAAGACATTTTTTCATGTCACAATTTCAATTGATGCCTGCAAGTACCACAGTCTCCTAGGCATTATATGCTAAATTAAACCCCAGCCCACAGCTAAGAGTATGTTTTAATAAAAAGCTATCATTTAGCTGAACAGGAAAACTTTTGAACAGTGAAATCATCAACTCAGTCACAACTGCCTAAGGAAGTAGCTTTTTAGAAAGAGGCAGATGAGATTTTAATTCACTACTTGCATCACTTTACACAATAAAATGCAGAGAAGCATACAAAAGTGCTGTGCTTCATTTATTCTGAAATCTCAAGCTGAAGAGTTCTCCCCACTCCAGACTAAAGTTGGTTCACAGCTTGAGATATTTTAAAGGTCACCATGAAAAGTGTCTTTAAGTCCTACTAATATATTCAAATCCTCCTCAGAAGAGCTGCCTCAAAAGCTGCAAATCACACTGGAGGAGGGAAGAAAACAAAGTTCAGATGTGCCTACAAGTAACAGAAGAATAAAAAGAAAAGGCCATTGAACCTTGAGGAAAGCAGATCCAGGAACTAAAAATGTAAACATTTAAAATCACAACTTACTCTTCTGAAGGAGGTCTCTGTTTGTAATAGATGGAGCATGAGCTATCACTGCTGAGGGGTCTGAGGACTGCACACAGGCACCGCATTTTGAGAGCGTCGTGACACAGCTTAGCTCAGCACCCCCTCTGCTGCAGCTTTTAATTTCCTAGGGCTAAGCTTCCCAGTCAAGCTCCTCTCCCGGGGACTGCTGCTCAGCGTATGACATCAGCCTGCACACTTGCAGGCTCAGGGATCCACCAAAGTGGGGGAAGCACAAAGAGTTTTCTGACTCAAGCTGATCTGTATTCCATGCTCCAGTTACTCAGAGTAATTGTCCTGTTCTGGCTCCACAAATTTTATCCTGACTGCTACGTCTGTGATGCAAGTGTAGAATATGTTTGGGACATGTTATCTCAGAGAACAGAAGAATCTAGCAAAATTAATGTTTCAACAAGTAAAGATTTGTGAATAGCTTTCTTGCTGCTGAGAACTGGCTTCATATTTGCCAATTTGCAAAATAAAAAAAAGTGTGTGTTAAAAATTTTCATCTGCCTTTTCATCAAATTATATTTTCTTCTGGAAAGATTTTTCTACTGTTTGTTTTAAAATAAATACACTGCTGTATAAACAAAGGAAAAAAGTTTAACATCCCATCCTACCCCTCCAAAATTACATACCTGATGCTGGTTACATTGGGTCTGTACTGTCCATATATCCTCAAAAGAATTTTATGTCCACTGATCAGTGGGGCCTGTTACACTTGTTTTTTTAAATTATGTTATCCAACCTTCAGTAAATCCTCTGCTCAAATATCCTTCCTCTTGTCGTTTTTGGATATAGTCCATAGGAAGTCCTAGCTTCTGCCTCTTTTTTTTTTTTTTTTTTTTTTTTTTTTTTTTTTTTTTTTTTTTTTTTTTTTTTTTTTTTTTTTTTTTTTTTTNTTTTTTTTTTTTTTTTTTTTTTTTTTTTTTTTGCTAGACTTTTTTTTTTTTTTTTTTTTTTTTTTTTTTTTTCTTTTCCTTTTTTTTTTTTTTTTTTTTTTTTTGCACTCCTTATCCTGCTCCAATTACCCATTTCTGTACTTTGTGTCCAGATGGGTATTTTAATCTGCAGGACATTCACTGTTTCACACCTTTGATTACTCGTTCTGTTACTTCTCTTACTGGAAGGCAAGCATATGTTTATGATCAGAAGCACACACAGGAACAGTGCTAGTTTGACTAAACTCTACACCCTTAAGGCAGTACTGGTCTCACCAGCAAGCAAAATTATCTCCTGAAATAATATCATATATTGGAATACCTACCCTTAGACATGAACTGGGATCTTCAAGCAAAACTAAACCTGATAGAATGGAGCCAAACAGCTGGGACTGTTGTGGAATAAAGTAAATAAAATAGGGGTGGTGTACACTGGCACTACAGCTACTATGAGAAGGGAACATGGAAAACTCAGAGCTCTGCCAGAGCACCACCCAACCGTACCTGGCAAACTCCACCTCTTCAGCTTTAGCTGGTGGCTTGAGACTCAATTACAAGATACAATGACAGATCTGGGGAAAAATTGCTTAATCCTTCAAAAACCTTGATTCATTAAGCAGAAGGAATTTAAACTCCAGAAAAGAAGTATGAAATAGTTCCAAAACAACTCCTGAGACAAAAAGGTATCTACCAAATTTGAAGACAGTATAAAGTAGGAGAAATAATTTTGTACACAAACTTTAACACCTGGATAAAACTTCTAAAGCCACAACTGGAACCAAGAAAATAATCTGTTCCCAAACTTAATAGAAAGATTTTGTTGTTGTTGTGATTATCAGAGGCAAATACATCTTCAGAAACTCATAGCTCTGGAACCTGAACTCATGTATGGGCTGCATTAGGCTTTATTCCCATTTCTTCATGTACAGATACACTTGGGTCTCCAATGACACTAATAGTCTTTTAATAGTTTGATTATTAATAATTTAACTTAATGAAATTAAAGATGCTTGTGGCTTTGAAGATTTTAACATGATAATGTCTTATTCTTTAAATAACATGACTGACACCCTTCAGCACAGACTCTGTATTTACATAAACATGCACATACATGAACATATATGCAAACACAAGCCATTATTCTGCATTAACTGAATTAAAGCCCCCATGTTGCTGCTGCATATGATCAAGAAGCAACTGACAAAAGATAAAGTGGAGACAGATTTGCATTCATGCTGGATGGTATTTAAAAGAAAGGAAAATAAAGACAGCCACATTCCAATTGAATGCCCCTTTTACATCTCCAACCCCATCCCTATTTAGAACCTACATCACAAGACTGCTATTCAAAGAAAGTTTTTCTCTGGAAGTGCACAGTAATTCTGAGCACATTAATATTGTGTTTTACTTATACATACACACAGAGAATTTACAAGGTGTAAACAATATTTTAACAGGTCTTACAACACTGCTTGAAGAGCACCATTGATAGCTCAAAAAATGACATGAAAAAATGACATGAAAAACCCCCACTACCAAACCAGACAACTTCTTACAATTTTAAATTATTTAAAATTAATTAAATTATTTATAATTTTAAAGTGATACAATCACTCCAAAGAAAGAATACAGTTAATGCTTTAGCCAACTTCCTTAAAGCTTTTTTTAGCCAGTGACAATAAAAAAGCCCAATAATAAAAGTAGTATATTTTATAAAATTTTAAATCTTAATCTAGAGTAATTATCAGGAGATTTTTTTTTTATGTTAGTATGGGTTCCCAGAAAAACAAGCACCCTAATAAACTGAGAAGAAAATACTAATTTTGTGATACAAGAATTTGACATTTGCTCGGCTTTTTCATAAAAAGGCTTTCAGAGGTATAGTAATTGCATATGTGTTCAGTTTATGAATTGCACGGAGCTCATGGCAAGAAATAACCTTCTGTAGACAGTAAGAACTTATGTTCCAAATCAAACTGTTCCAGACAGTTCCCTTTTCTTCTCTAAAAAGCTACTGAATAGCACAGATGCTACAAACATGATACTGAACTCCAAGTATTCCATGTACACTTATTTGTTAGTATTGAAACACATGGGTTTGGACACTCTTGTAAAATTGTACTGACAAAACATCCAACTAACGTTGCCTTTTCTTAAAAACCTTAAATCTTGGTATTTTACCCAGTGTAAACAGCAGTGCAGTTGTTTCACCGTTGTTACAATCATGGCTGTCCTCAAACCTCAAGGCAATTTTTAAATTTAGGTTTATAGGGGATTTTTTTGCACACTAAAATAATTTCACCTAAACAAAGAGACAGTTCTGAGTATTTTACATTTCTTCATGCCTCCAGTTTGTTATTTCTTTCCCTCTGCTTTGAAACAATGTAATTTACAAGTTTTCCAGCATTCTGAGAGGAAGAGATTCAGAGTGGCTTAAAGCCACCTTCTGATTTTTCATGGCAGCTGTCTCAAGTAGAATATTTAGTCAGATTATTTGCTACCTGCAGCAATGACAACAAAAATTAAGGCAACAGAATAATAAAATGGGATTAATTACAAAGAATAGGATGCAATTCTGTTGACTCATGCCTAATAACACAATAGCATTAAACAGAAATCTGTGTATCTCAACTTCACTTCCCTTGAGCTATCTAATACAAAGAAACTTCCACAGCCCCACTGAACTTCTCTATCACACTTACATTGTCTCCATCAGGATCTGATGTCAAGCTGACTTTAGAGACCAGAAGCTGAATTTTTCTTAGGACATCTTCCACAAAGAGAAATATGAAAGAAGAAATGTTTCTCTTCTCCATTTGCTGAAAAAACAGCTTTCCTCCCTCCCATTTTTATCACCATTTCTCTGAGTTCTGAGATAATCCTTTACAGATATCCCTGAATCTAAAGAAATGTAGATGATCACTTCACAGTCACATGTCATCTTCCATCTATAGGTTAAATCCCAGGTTAAATCCTCTGGGAAAGAGCATAAAGACTCAAACAAACAAACAAAAAAAAAATTAAATCCCAAGAGTGTTAAAAACCATTTGCAGAAAATTATACTAAGAGGGTAATTTGTAAGCAAACACAGTGATTTCACTGGAGGAGGTTTAAGAATATTTTTGTTTTGCTGAATTTTAATGACAAAAACTTACCTTCTTTTTGCCTATACTGTAATGTGAATTTGCAGTTTGATTTTTCCAGCTGGGGTTGGAATAGAGTTACATGTATTATTAACATATATGAAAGTTCAGAGTATTTGGTAACTAGAAGGTTTTTTGTCTTCATAACATTATGAGTAAAGCTCACAAACATACCACAACTGTTGCTGCTAAAACAAAAATTGAGTTCCTACAAGAAACTAACACTATAGGAAAAAAAATCTATCGTGATCCTCTTGGTCTTTTAAGTGTTAAGAGCATTCAAAAGAACTTTAGTCCAACACAACAAGACAAAGAGAAGAGAGGTGTGTGAAGCAAGAAGAATATATCCTGTAAGAATTTGTCCTTCAAGAATAAGTCATGGTTTTGTTCTGCACCAGAAGCAAGCATAAACAGCCCCAAACAAAGAGCTGCTTCAGCATGAGAGTCATCAGAATATAAGTATATAGCAAAATCTTGTGAAAACTAACTATTTTAATCAAATTAAAAAATAGTACTTTTCCCTCAAGGTGATACAGGGCATTTTCCATACAAATTTCAGGTCTGCCCAAAAACTGAGCAACCCACATCATGTTAACTAAGCATCTTAATTCTTACAGAAAATAATAATTTTGCAAACCTCACACTTCTCTCAAAAGTAAAGCTAAGGGTTTAATACACTTTGAACTTAAGTATATACAGGCATTTACAGGGCTAAGTTACAATGTACCCAACTGTCTAAGAAGACTAAGTCATGTCAATTTTGCCATAATTTCACAAACTTGTTTTTATCTCAACATTTTTAAAACAAAATGACATTCAGTAAAAATTATTTTACTTATTCAGAGTCCAGCATGTGTTCCTTCAATGAAAAAAATTCTCTCAAATAGTTGATAATACACTGCCAAAAGTGACAAGCTATCCTGATCACATGAAATAGCTTTGTTTTATGGGGCATTTAGTCTTTTTTTTTTAAGTGTATTGTTTCTTCTCAAACAAGCTTTACCACAACAAACATATCAAAAGAGACATCACAGCCTTACAGTTCAAGTGTATATTTGTAACTTCTCAGGTGTGTATTTTGCATTTTTGTATCAGACTCAGAAGACCACAAAGTTAACATACCTGTGTTCTGTGAGGACATTTACTGCTGATGGGTGGTTGGCACAGTATGTAAGGTATAAGCTTTTCATTTGTGGCATCAAATTTAGAAAACATCCTCCAACCCTCTGCTGAGCTTCAGGCAACCTAAAAACAGAGTAATAAAGATGAAAATACTGTACTACTAACCAGACAGAGAAATAAATTAAAGCCCAGAAAAGCAGTGTATATTGTGTGGTGGGTTTGGCTGGGGTAGAGTTAATTTTCTTCACAGTGGCTGGTAGGGGACTGTGTTTTTAGATTTGTGCAATAGCATAAGGGTGACAGAAGGGATGAAACTCTTTTCTACAGAGCAGCTCTCACTCAAAGGACTAAGCCTCTTCAGCAGAAGGCTGCATGGCCAATTGCATAACCCCCACTGAAGTTAACCAGAAGATGGGTCACTAGCTTTCATCAGTCCTAGATTACAAACTTACTCCTGACACCTTGTCTAAACCACTGTAACACATGTGCAAGATGAAATGTTTCAATTTCCCCATGCACTTGCTTTCCTTCCATAAAGGCTGCATTGCCTAACATAAATATGCTGAATTTTTCCTTCTTTGCAAGACATGATAGTGGATTTTATTCTTGCTGTTAATCTTTTTT